TCAGTCTGGTTGTCTCTCTCTTTGAGTGAGCAACACACTGCATTCATCCAAACATTTCGTTATAATCCTTTTTTTTTGTGGTTGTTTATTGAGTGCGACTCCGAAATAAGCCACCATGGGCCCAAAGAAATACGTTAGTATATAAAAACATGCAATGTTTATATGCGATGTATGTTTAATAATAATCACTCATGGGCACATTAAATGTCTTATTTTAGGTTAATATAGATATTTTTATTAATCCATCTATGATATTTTCTTTAAAATTATATAGGAGACATGTTACATGGCATGTAGCATGTAAACATAGCATATAAACATGCAATGCTTATATGGTATCAAGTGGTGAGTAGGGTGGAGAGTAAACATTACATTATCTCTGATTCAGTGTTAGAGAAAACTGTGAATCTGGCGTCTGACCCAGTCACCGCCCTCCATACACGTTTGTTTACAATTCTCGGCATGAATTATTCATTACTTCTCCCTTTGTTTATGATGGCATCTAAAGGTAGTTGTTAGAAAAGATTAAACTCGGTGAACATGGTAATAATATGGCTGTGTAGTGTAGCCCAGGGAGGCTACATATGTGTACCTACATCTACCACTGCCTACACTGACTTCCTACAAATAAATAACAAAAAAGGCACAATACCGTGACTGGAACGATACACAAATAACCCGCACATAAAAGAGAGAAGCTTACGACGACGTTTCGGTCCGACTTGGACCATTTACAAAGTCACACTAACCAGAAGTGGGGCAGGACGGCTATATATAGGCAGGAAGAGGTGGTGTGGTAGTAGTAGTAGTAGTACAAGAATGGTATATAATACTGACAAGATGAAATTAAGACACATGCGCAACACCCGGGCATCCCTATCGTAGACGTTTTGTCATCCAGCCAGCCACTGGATGGCGAAACGTCCACAACAAAGACAACCAGACGCCGCACATGTGTCTTAATTTCATCAGTAGTTGTAGTAGTAGTAGAAGAGGTAGTAGTAGTGGTAGTGGTAGAAGTGGGGAATAAGGAGGACGAGCCAGTCAAATACAAAGGAAGGGGAGCACTGCAAGAGAGCTAGGTGCCCACAGAGGGAGAGCAAGGGCACAGAGGTGCGTGAAAGGAGAAGTGGTGAAATAAATGAAGAAGGAACAGAAACACGAGACAGAAGAGAGAAAGACAACCCAGAGGAGAAAAGGAAAGAGGAAAGGGGAAGAGGGAGAAGAAGAAAAAGAAAAAGAAAAAATGAGGAGTCAGGTTAAGTCATGGGTGTTCTGAAGTTTGGAGCATTTTACAATGTAGTGGGAGAGGAAGGCATCTACAGAGACGAAGCCGGGGCTAAGGTTCATACAAGGAAAGTTGTGTATTAGAGAGGATTCAACTAGACGGCGACTGTTCGAGTTGGAAGTAGGGAAGACAGTTTTAGCAGAAGACCAGTCAATAGGATGGCTATGATCTCTGACGTGACAGAAAAGAGCATTGTTAGTGTCGGCAAGCCTAACACTATTTTTGTGCTCCCTAAGTCTGCCAGAGATCGACCAGTTTCTCCGAAGTATTGAAGAGGACAGGAGGAGCAAGAAATAGAGTAGACACCAGGAACATCTGTAGAGGGAGGAGAGGTATGAACGAGATTAGTGCGAAGAGTGTTAGTCTGGCGGAAGGTAAGCTTGATGTCTAAGGGACGGAGAGAATTGTTGAGATTAGAAAGACCGGAAGTGTAGGGAAGGCAGAGGATAGAAGAGTTCCCAGGAGTAGAGAGTTTGGGAGAGAAGAAATTGCGTTTAGCACGTGAGAGGGCAGAGTCTATGAAATGGGAAGGGTAGCCAAGACGGGAAAACGAATTATGAAGAGTGGAAATTTCTGCTGGAAGGAACTGAGGATCACAGATGCGGAGGGCACGGAGAAAGAGGGAGATAAGAACACTTTTCTTTGCAGGGGAAGCATGATAGGAAAAGTAGTGAATGTACATGCCACTGTGCATAGGTTTTCGGTAAACGGAAAAGGAAAAACCTGCATCTGAGCGGTGGACATGGACATCAAGGGAAGGAAGCAAGGAATTAGATTCCCATTCAGCTTTAAACTTAATGGAAGGGGCAAGATTATTAAGAGCTTCAAGAAAAGGTTGGAAGAGACTGGAGTCATGAGGCCACAGAGCAAAGATGTCATCCACATAGCAGAGCCAGAGTGAAGGTTGCACATCAAGGGTAGGAAGAAGAACAGTCTCGAAGTATTCCATGTAAAGATTAGCAAGGACAGGAGAGAGAGGAGAGCCCATAGCGACACCGAAGGTTTGAGAATAATATTTCCCTTGGAAGGAAAAGGAGTTAGAGTCCACACAGAGGCAGATAAGATCAAGAAAGACATCAGTAGGTATAGGGAGATGAAGAAACCCTTCATGGGCCTTCTCTCGAAAGAAATCAAGGACATCATCAAGAGGGACATTGGTGAAGAGGGACTCAACATCAAGACTAAGCATCTTACAGGTTGGGAGAGAGCGAACCCGTTCAATGAAGTCTTGCGAGTGACGGAGGTGGGCAGGAGAAAAAGTACCAAGAAAGGGAGTGAGGGTTTTGGCCAGCCAAAATAAATACACTACTCACCTCTAGCCCTATATTAAGACTACATATATTTTAAGGTAAGTAATGAATGTACTGTGGCAGTAAATGATGAAGAAGGGAAATAACCCTAGAGAGGGTTTTGATACCTGAAATCCTTATGGAGGGGGATTCCCAACTCCCTCTCCCCGCCTCGCCTTCTTCAATATGCCAACAAGCATCTTCAATAAATGTATGTAATATTCATTTATCATTAAAATGTGTGCTTTATATTTCTTTCTCATTGTTTTGTGTATGTAAAACTATAGTTAATCTTTAAAAAATATATTTTTTGTTAATATTTTTGGGTGTCTGGAATGGATTATATTTACTTTAATTCTTATGGCAAATATTATTTCAGTTTTTTGCCTTTTCGGATTTAGGCCAACCTTCTGGAATGGATTATGGCCGATAACCAAGGGCCCACTGTATATAAAATATGAAATAACTTTAAAACACTTGAAATTTTGGAAAGTTTCCCAACAAAATGGACAGTCACGGTGCTCATGGAGAATGTAGCAAACCCAACCAATCATTAATATGATGGGTTGGGTGAATCACAGCTTTTTTCACTTGCCAGTGCATATAAAAGACTAAAAACTTGTTTACACTATCATTTATTAAGTGCGGAAGAGGCGTTAGGCCTAAATAAAAAGAGGCAAAAAATAAGAATAATACAGAGCTGTATTGCTAACCTTAGGTTGCGGTGGCTGTGGCATTTTCTTAGTATAAGACAACAAGACAACAATGACGTTTGTATGTGTACAATAAACATGGATTCATTCTGAGAATTTTCAAATCTCCACTTCTCTGAATTAAACCCTGTATAGTCCTTGTGGCTTAGCGCTTCTTTTTTTGATTATAATAATAATAATCTGAGTTAAACCATACCCAGAATATATGACCATACAAATATGGTTATGATCAAAAAAACAAGTTATAAAAATTAATTGTGAAATTCAGTCATAATTCTTATACTGTATTGTAATAAAAAAATGGAAAAACTACATTTTTTTTTTTTTTTTTTTTTTTTTTTTTTTTTTTTTTTTTTTTTTTCCAAAAATTATGAGCATACCAGGTAGGAACTAAACACTGGTTTACCCCCCAAAAAATACAGTTGGTCAAAAATATAAGAAATTTTTTTAATTCATTATGTGTAAGAATAGAGAAGCAGTAACAGTAGGCCTACTGGCATTTGCTAGGCAGATCCTACTCATACCAGTACATTATATTACATAAGAATGGAGGAGCACTGCAGTAAGCCTACTGGCCAGTTGAAGGCAAGTCCCATTTGCATCTAACACATATTCATTTGGTAGAAATTGGTAAAGAACTGTTGATTTATTATTTACATTGTTCTGTATGTTGTCAGTTATCCATGTCTTGTACTCTTTAGAGGTTATAGGATTGTGGAAGAATAGTTTGTTGTGGGATTGATTTGGGGATGAATGGGTGACACCCTCAGTCTCCTGCACAATTACTCTCAACTTTTCCCCTACACCATAAAAAACTGAACAGTAATATTTATTTACGTTATCCTATTCAGCCATGATTTGCATTTCATAGTGATAATCTGAAAAGATAAATAAAATGCTAGTTAGTCTTGAAGATGGGAACAATGGTCAGTTTGGCAGGTGCAGTGATGAGCTGTTGTAAACAAATGGGGAGGCAGTGAATGACATCCTCACTGCTTACTGTACTGTCACATCACACCTTACTTTCTTACACAGCTACTTTCACCACATGCATTTTTAATGTCTTTCTTGTGACTGTCAACATAAACCAATTTTGATGGATATTTGAAGAGATTCTCCATAGGGAAGTGGAGCAGAATTCTTCCTCCGTAAGCCATGCATATCGTAAGAGGTGATTAAAATGGAGCATATGGAGAATTCCTGGTAGAAATAGGATTGCTGGGTATGAGCAAATTTGCACAAAGTAACCCTGCATATATCAGAGGAAACCATACCCCCGGCCGGGATTGAACCCGCGGTCATAGTCTCAAAACTCCAGCCCGTCCGTTAGCCACTAGACCAGCTAACCTTCCTATGGTGTAGAAATATACCTAGTTGAATGAATCTTATTGTGGCTAGCTGGTCTAGTGGCTAACGCGACGGGCTGGAGTTTTGAGACTATGACCGCGGGTTCAATCCCGGCCGGGGGTATGGTTTGTTTGCAATCGTGTCATTACGATTTCTTGAGTCATATCAGAGGAAAGCCTGTATACTAGCGTAACAGAGCATGTATATTATTCTTTATATATATATTTTTTAACATACTGACTGTCTCTCACTGAGGTAGGGTGAACTGAAAAAGAAAAGAACACTTTATATGTAAAGTTTTTCTTCTTTTACATCTAATAATTTATAATAGAGTTTTGACCGTCACTGATGTTCATCTTACAGAGTAATCCTGCATCTGTTCCATTTGGTGGAGTCTCCTCACCACAACCTGGGGGAAGGTCCTCTACATCTTCACCAGCTGCAGGGGGAGGTGGAGGAGTATCACCAGCTGGAGCTGCAGGTGGAGGAAGCATGTCACCACAGCTTATGAGACGAAGCTGGGGATCACGCGAGTCATACACTTCAGATGGTGACAGTGGAGTGGGAGCAGAATCGACCACTTCAAGGTTGGCAAAGCTTTGACTGGTCTCCAGGTGTTCTGTGGATTCAAAAAATGCATTTTCTTCTAATTAAATACTACTTTATTTAGTATATAAACATCTTTCATTCAGAGGAAGTGTTGTAGATTTATTCTATATTTAACAGATATATAAATTATTGGAGGGCAAACTACTTACCTAAGCTGTATATTTTCTTCAGATAATTTATGCAACTTTTTTCTTTATATAGGCTGCTGCTTTTAAATTTATTAACAGTGATTTTGCATATATTTATTTATTACTGAATGTAAAGAAAAATATGGAATGTGTACAACTATATATTTGCAGCAAGAAAGAGCAAATTGAAAACTTATATCTCTGTTATTCTACAAGAGATGCCCATATAAGAATTACAAGACTAATTATGTTGTGGTTTTAAATGCAATGATTCATAAAGTAGAGCAGTACAGCAGATCTCCAATTTATTAAATCTTATGTAACAAAAACTTCACTTGAACCCTTTCACTGCCTCCCACGCTTCCGTATCTCTACGTCTCGATCATAGCACCCTCAAATATGCTGGGAGTGGTACATTTTGCCTAGAAATGACAGAATGGGTGTGTACACAGTATAAGAGTGTGACTTGGACTTTTCTAGCATGGGCCAATAGGTCTGCTTCAGTGCTCCTTTTTTCTTATGTTGACAATTACAGTCAAACCTTGGTTTTTGTATGCCCTTTTTTTTGTATGATTCGGTTTTCAATTACTTTTTTCGTTAAAATTTTGTCCCAGTTTTTGTACACCTACTCAGTTTTCGTACAGTTGAAAATGGTCCGTACCAAACTCGTCCGCCTGCCCGCGTGACTCGGCCACTCATTTCCTGTAATTGAGCGCCCACACAAAGCATCTCGTGTTCATGACTGAGTCTGCCTTTGTTTCTTGTTGAGTGAGCATCACCCCGTGAGTTCATCCAAAACATTTCATAGTAATCCATTGTTTTTTGTGCTTGTTTATTGAGTGCAACTGCTTAATAAGCCACCATGGGGCCAAAGAAAGTTCTGAGTGCCAGCCCTTTGATAAAGAAGGTGAGAAACACGATAGAATTCAAGATAGAATTCATAGCAAAGTACAAAAGTGACATACGCATGGCCAATCTCGCCAGGATGTACAGGAAGTTTGCATCAGTGATCAGCTCCATCCTGGCAAAGAAAAAAGAAATCAAGGAAGCTGAATCTCAGAGATGCCAGAAACAGACCTCTCTGGACAGATTTTTTGTGTGACAGGGGTCCAGTGACTCTCAAGCTGGTCTAGTGCCAGTAAAAGACAAAGAAAGGAAGTAACCCCGGATAGGGCCTTGATACCTGAATTCCTTATAGATGGGGATTCCCTTTCCAAACAATAACCTCTCCTCCTCCATCTCCCCTCCTTGCCATTTTCCATATGCCAACAAGTGTAAAAGTGATGTTAAATCTTCATTTATCCATTTCATTAGTCATTTATATTTATTTCTCATTGTTTTCTGTATGTAAAACTATAGTTATTCTCTATAAAATGTATTTTTTGTTAATATTTTTGGATGCCTGGGCTGGATTAATTGGATTTACATTATTTCTTATGGGAAATGTTGCTTCAATTTTTGTCCGATTCGGTTATCGTCAGACTTTTTCAAATGGATTAATCACGAAAGCTGAGGTTCCACTGTATTGAATTGTATAGTACATATTTAAAAAATGGAGATAATTACCACTCAACAGGTTTTCTTTTGGTAAAAAACATATGCAGTTTCCATTGTTTCATACACTATTGAAAATCTACATTACACATCATGAGCTGCCTAAAGGAATTTTTGATGCTATATCATATACATTACAGAAAGATATTATCATACCAGGTAAAGAAAAGTAACTGAATATTTTAATTTGTACATACACTTGAGTATCATGATACACTGTGAAGCATCAAGATACATAAGTAATATGTGTCAAGTGCGAAGATAAACCTGTGGTTTTTAATGGCTGTATCACAGACCAAAGACACATTGTATTCATATTGGATTATGAATATTTATGCAACATATTTCTACTCTGGCATATTTCTTTATATTTTTAACTCTTTCATAGCTTGTTTTTTATTTCTTATAATATTTTTGGTTTTTATTTCTATTTTATTTTTTACTAATTTTGCTTATTTTTCTGTTAACAATTTGTTTCTATTTTTCTAGCATACAAGGACTAATATTCATGAGGTCAGCATAATATGTTATATTCAAAGGATTTTACAAACACTAATGTAAATTAACCTTTTAACTGTGTATCATGTAAATTAACACCAATGACCAGACCGTGTGTGACATATATTTATGCTTAATTTTTGTGCTTTTAAATGTGCTGCATGCTGCCATTTTAGGCTGCTGCTCAGGCCTAGGGAAAAATTTAACACAAGCTGGTTCACACAGTGCATCATGGGTAACACTGCCTCAGTATCATGTGTACACAAGCAGATTTTGTTGCAAGGAAACACTCGTACCTACAAACAAGGTATGGAACTGGCAGGAAGGTGTCTTGTGTGTTTCAAGGTTATTGCATCTTGATGATACTAACAGTGGAATGCAGCCAAATTGTCCAGTAGCTAATGGGACAAAAAAGTAACTTTTTTTTTTTAACACATTGGCCATTTTCCACCAAGGCAGGGTGACCTGAAAAAGAAGATATAATATCATAATCATTCGCTCCAGCACTGTCTTGCTAGAGGCATGCCAACGCTATAGTTAAAATTGCAGCACATCTCAACCCCTCCACTTTATTGGATTATCCTAAGTTAAATTTACATAGTGTGCATTTATGTGCCCATGAACCCTGTATGCCCCAAGATTACTGTAAAAAAAAAAAAAAGGAATATTGTTTTCTATGCACTTACAGATCTAATTAACTTTATTATTTCTATTTTGTGATGAGTCTCTTAAAGATTATTGTACACAAATACTGTAACCCGCATATAGGAGAGAGAAGCTTACAACAATGCTTCAGTCCAACTTGGACCATTTGCATAGTCACACTAACAAAAAGGAGAGAAAGAGGGAGTACAGTGGACCCCCGCCTTACGATGGCATCGCGTTACGTTAAATCCGCCATACGATACATTTTAACGCAAAAATTTTGCCTCGCCTCACGCGATTCATCCGGGACACGTCCCACGCTTGGCCTCAGCTGCCCCGTGTGTGCCAGTGTTTACAAGCCAGCCAGTGCGGTCGCATCCACACATACATTCAGTACATTTCATATTATCACAGTGTTTTTAGTGATTGTAGCTGCAAAATAAGTCACCTTTGGCCCCAAGAAAGCTTCTAGTGCCAACCCTGCAGGAAAAAGGGTGAAAATTACTATGGAAATGAAGAGAGAGATAATTGCTAAGTACGAAAGTGGAGTGCGTTTCTCGGAGCTGGCCAGGTTGTATACCAAACCCCAGTTAACCATCGCTACCATCGTGGCCAACAAAACGGCAATCAAGGAAGTTGTTCTTGCAAAAGGTGCAAGTTTGTTTTCGAAACAAAGATCACAAGTACTCAAAGATGTTGAGAGACTGTTATTGGTGTGGATAAACGAAAAATGGATAGCAGGAGATACCATCTCTCAAGTGATCATATGTGAAAAGGCTAGGAAGTTGCATGACGATTTAATTAGAAAAATGCCTGCAACTAGTGGTGATGTGAGTGAATTTAAAGCCAGCAAAGGTTGGTTTGAAAGATTTAAGAATCGTAGTGGCATACATAGTGTGATAAGGCATGGTGAGGCTGCCAGTTTGGACCAAAACGTGGCTGAAAAATATGTGAAGGAATTCAAGGAGTACATAGACAGTGAAGAATTGAAACCTGAACAAGTGTTTAACCCTTTCAGGGTCCAAGGCCCAAATCTGGAGTCACGCACCAGTGTCCAAGAATTTAAAAAAAAAAAATTTGTTATTTTTTCTTATGAAATCGTAGAGAATCTTTTTGTGAAGGTAATAAAACAAAAAGTACGAAATTTGGTGGAAAATTGACGAAATTATGCTCTCGCGAATTTTGATGTGTCAGCGATATTTACGAATCGGCGATTTTGCCGACTTTGACTCCCATTTTAGGCCAATTACATTATTCCAGTCAACCAAATTCTTAGCTATTTCACTAGTATTACTTCTATTCTATCGATTGAGCACAAGAAATTGCCAAGTCAACTGTTTCAACTACAAAATAAAGTGATCGGAAATTGTTAATTTGGCCAATTTAACACAAAGTTCAAAATATTCCAATTTCAAAATAGGGTCCAGAATGAACAATGTAGGCATTCCTGGCACTAAACTAACATTTCCTCTGTTCATTAGTTATGTTTTGAGGCTTTACAAATAAATTCCATTTTGATTTTTTATTCACATAATGAATTTTTATTCACACCAAAAAATAGAAGATTTACTGTTATGCAATACTGTAATAATTGTATAAATATCATCACCATATTCGTGAATGTATATTAGACCCACCAGCTGACGTGTATTAGACGTGTGAGGTCGTTTGTTTACTCTTGAATATCGGCAAAAATTTAACATTTCTGCTACTTTGAGCTCAGTTTCAAGCCATTTCCAGTGCTAAAACCAATCAAAATCATCTCTATTTCTGTAATATGTCTTCCATTCTATCAAATGAGACCAAGAAATCGCAAATACAACTATAAAAAACATACGAAAAAACACTGCAAAGTTGCTGTTTTAATCGAAAAATCATGATTTCATTTTTTTTCTCTCGTTATACACAGTGTGCTGCAGGATCTGTTTTATGTGGTGCACACATACCACATAGATGTATTCTCTCATATCTAGGCCCAAATGTACCACTCACAGTTTATCAGAGTGAGCTGAGCTCATGGCGTAGATCTACGGTTTGGACCCTGAACGTAAAGCCGTAGATCTACGGGACGGACCCTGAAAGGGTTAATTGCAACGAAACAGGCCTGTTTTGGAAGAAAATGCCAAGCAGGACCTACATTACTCAGGAGGAAAAGGCATTCCCAGGACATATGCCTATGAAAGACAGGCTTACTCTCTTGATGTTTGCTAATGCTAGTGGTGATTGCAAAGTGAAGCCTTTATTGGTGTATCACTCTGAAACTCCCAGAGCGTTCAGGCAAAACAATGTCCTCAAGGCTAATTTGTGTGTGCTGTGGAGGGCAAACAGTAAGGCATGGGTCACTAGGGACTTTTCTGTGATTGGTTACACCATGCATTTGCCCCCCCCTGTGAAAAATTACCTCCTGGAAAATAAATTGGACCCTAAGTGCCTCCTGGTATTAGGCAGTGCTCCTGGTCATCCTTCAGACTTGGCAGAGCGACTTTCTGGGGACATGAGCTTCATTAAGGTCAAGTTTTTGCCTCCTAATACCACTCCTCTCCTGCAACCCATGGACCAGCAGGTCATATCAAACTTCAAAAAACTACACAAAAGCTATGTTCCAGTGCTTTGAAGTGACCTCAGACACTCGATTGACTCTAAGAGTGTTTTGGAAAGATCACTTTAGTATCCTCAGTTGTGTAAACCTTATAGGTAAGGCTTGGGAGAGAGTGACTAAGAGGACCTTGAACTCTGCTTGGAAGAAACTGTGGCCAGAATGTGTAGACAAAAGGGATTTTGAAGGGTTTGAGGCTAACCCTGAGAATCGTATGCCAGTTGTTCAATCAATTGTGGCATTGGGGAAGTCCTTGGGGTTGGAGGTTACTGGGGAGGATGTGGAAGAGTTGGTGGATGAGAACAACGAAGAACTAACCACTGATGAGCTGCAAGATCATCTTCAACAGCAAGAGGCCAGACCTGAGGAAACTGCTTTGGAGGAGGGGGAGAGAGAAATTGAAGAAGTTGTCTACTTCAAAGATTAAGGAAATGTGTGCAAAGTGGCTTGAAGTGCAAATCTTTATGGAAGAAAATCACCCTGACACAGCTATTGCAAGCCGTGCTGGTGACTATTACAATGACAATGTTGTGAACCACTTTAGACAAATCATAAAGGAACGAGATGTACAGAGCTCTATGGACAGATATGTTGTGCGACAGAGGTCCAGTGACTCTCAAGCTGGTCCTAGTGGCATTAAAAGAAGAAAGGAAGTAACCCTGGAAAAGGACTTGATACCTCAAGTCCTAATGGAAGGGGATTCCCCTTCTAAACAATAACTTCCACACACTCCCCTCCTCCCATCCCATCAATCATCACCAGATCTTCAATAAAGGTAAGTGTCATGTATACTATTGTTAGTAGAGTACTACTAACTGTGCATGTCTTCTTCAGTTTGTGTATATTAAAATTAATATTTCATGTGGTAAAAGAATTTTTTTTTTCGTACTTTGGGGTGTCAGGAACGGATTAATTTGATTTCCATTATTTCTTATGGGAAAAATTAATTCGCCTTACGATAATTTCGGCATATGATGAGCTCTCAGGAATGGATTAATATCGTAAAGCAGGGGTCCACTGTATATATAGGCCAGCAAACATTGACAAGAACAAGAGAGGTAGAAAGACAGGAGGAAGAGAGGTAGTGGTAGAGGTAAATATTATTCTCAAACATTCAGTGTCGCTATGGGCTCTTCTCTGTCTCCTGTTCTTGCTAATCTTTACATGGAATACTTCGAGACTGCTGTTCTTCCCAATATTTATGTGTGCCCTTCGCTCTGGCTCCGCTATGTAGATGACATCTTTGCTCTTTGGCCTCATGACCCTAGTCTCTTCCAACCATTTCTTGATACCCTTAATAATCTTGCCTGCTTCCATTAAGTTTAAAGCTGAATGGGAATCTAATTTCTTGCTTCCTTTCCTTGATGTTAATGTCCACCGCTCAGATACAGGTTTTGCTTTTTCCGTGTACCATAAGCCTATGCACAGTGGCATGTACATTCACTACTTTTCTTATCATGCTTCCCCTATCAAGAAAAGTGTTCTTATCTCCCTCTTTCCCTGTGCTCTCTGCATTTGTGATCCTCAGTTCCTTGAATCAGAAATTTCCACTCTTCGTAATTCATTTTCCCATCTTGGCTTCTGAGAGACTTAGAGAGCACAAAAGTAGTGTTAGGCTTGCTGACACCAACAGTGCTCTTTTCTGTCATATCAGAGATCACGGTCATCCTATTGACTAGTCTTCTGCTAAAACTGTCTACGCTACTTCTAACTTTCACAGTCGCCATCTGGTTGAATCCTCCCTTATATACAACTTTCCTTGTATGAATCTTAG